TAGAAAGACCAGGTAAATAACTACTGAAGTGAGAGGCAACAATGAGAACTACCCACAGAGGACTGTGGTTATAAACTCTTTCAACAGAGAGATGAAATGAATATTTATAAAGAGAGATAAAGGAAAAAGTGGTTTCCGTTGGAGGAAAAACAATTACAGTTTAGAGATGAGTTTGAAGAGCACAGACACAGCATACTTCAGTGTAGACAATGAACTGAAGTTTAAGAAAAGACTATGAAATAGAGAGGATGGATGGTTCACCTTAGAATGTTCACTGGAAAACAGTAATAAAAGAATGAAGAAGTGTGACCTAAATTTGGGTAGCACTTCATTTAGAGAAGGTAATAAAGAAGATGGAGAAGGCAAGAGGAAATGTACAGAAGGCCAGTAGAGTACAAAACATGTCATTACCCAGTGCTGCTCAACAAAATTAATTCCCGAAAGTTCAAGTAAGTCTGAAATAATTAAAACCCTATTCTTCCAATAATGTCAATAAGAATTAAGAAAATAGGAAAATGGATCCCCCACATACGAGTCATTAACCAAATTTACAATCTCTATCTTTGGAGGGGAAGCAATTCTAAATGCAGAGACTCATAAATGAATCATACTGATCTTTAAGCAATGTACCTCACTTACTTAAGGGTTTGTGCTGAATATCCTTTGCAGTGCAACCTCCTTCCACAGAGGACAGGGGTTGTGTTTGCTACAGACATTTTCCTTGGTCTTGTCAGTTATTATTGCATTGCTAGCCTGTTTCTTTCTTTTTAAATTTATTTATTTATGCATGCATAAACTGGGGTACAGGCCAGACTTGCAGGGGAGCAAGAGGATTCACCAAAGACAGAATGGGGAACAGAACAGGCAGACTGACTGAAAAACTCTGCTGAGGGGAGCAGCGGATGAGACAGGAGAGGTCTGCTACACCATGTGGGTCAGCTCCATAGCCAGGGATTGAACTCATGCTGCAGTGACAGTGGATAACTTCATAGTGCTGCACTTTAACCACTTGCACCATCAGGGAGGGACATCATTTCTCCTCCTTTTCTTTCCTTCCTTTTTAATACTATTGAAATAAACATATAATATTTTTCATTATACAGTTAAATCATTTTTAGTAAATTTATAGGTGCAATACAGTTTTTATTAACCGTCACACCCTTACAGTTAACCTCCATTCCCACCCAGACTAGATAAATACTAACCTACTTCTCTCTGCAACTTCCTAATAAGATACAATCCAGTTTGAAAATGGTCTCAAGATTTGTATATTCATTAAGAACACAGGAAAAGAAGCTCAACATCATTAATGATTAGGCAAATTCTTATTAAAGCCACAATGACAACTATCAGAGTTCCACAGAGGAATATTTGCCTTTCCTAGATAATTTATTGAAATGGTATGTGATCTTCTGTATCAGGTTTCTTTCCCTAGCAAAATGTTTTGAAATTCATCCATATTACAGCTGTATTCTGTTCTTTTTTTGCTAAATAGTTTTTCATTGCATGTGCATGGCTATACATTTTGATTACCTATCCAGCCATAAATTGACATTTGAGCTGACTTAACTTCTAGATATTATGAATAATGCTACACTCAACTTTTGCATGCAAGTCTTTACATAAGCATATTTTCAATTCTCAATTTGAAATTGTTGGATAATATAAATTTAGGTTAACTTAGAGCTACTTTTAAATTCCCACCAGCAATGTATGAAGGCTCCGTATCCTCAACAAGACTTGCTATTTCTGTATTACAGATGGCCACTCTGATAGTTGTCATTGTGGCTTTAATAAAAATTTCCCTAATGATTAATGATGTTGAACATCTTTTCCTGTGTTTTTGGTGAGATGTCTGTACACATATTTAGGACATTTTAAAACTGGGTTGTTTTCTTTTTATTAGGAAGTTGCAGACATTCTTTGTACATTATGAATATAAATTTTTTTCTCCCAGTCTCTTTACTGTGTTCTTCTTAGTAACCCTTTAGTATTCCTATGACTTCTGTTTATCTCTCACTTACACACACTGATTCTCTTCCAGTGGTGTGAACCATTTTCCAGTTGTTCTCTAGGAAAGAATAAGTGAAATCAAGAGGAGGAAAAACACATCATTTGGGAACAGAAAAACATAAAATTAAAGAAATGTACATTAAATTAAATTTGAAATGTTTCCATGAAAAGCTGGGTTAAAAAAAATATCACTATCATGATATTTAGAAAATTAATTGCTTCAATCAACTGTCCTAGTAAACTTTAATAAAGAGCATGGTTCCAATGTCTTACCTTACTTTTAAAATAGTCCAGGGCCCTCCCTGGTAGCACAACCAGTTAAAGCACAGCCTCTGAAGCTATCTGCTGCTACTGCAGCACGAGTTTGATCTCTAGACAAGGAGGTGACCCCTATGGTACAGCAGTCCTCTTCTGTCTTGCCCGCTGCTTCACTCAGCAGTGTATTTCAGTAATTCTGCTGTTTCTTCCACTCTGTCTCTGGTGAATCTTCTTACCCCCACACCTCTGGCCTATACCCCAGTTCTTGTTTGCATAAATAAATCTATAAAAATAAAATAAAATACTCCAGCTTCCCAAATAAAGGAATGGTAACAACCTAACCATTGTCCATGACCCATTACCTAAAAAATACATTTGAGCACCCATTCCTATTGCAGTGATTCACAGAGTACGGCATGGATAAGATGTCTACCTCTCAAAAGAGATATGGCCTGGAGTGGGAGGCAGGGTAGAGAAGAGTCACTGAAATTTTGGGGGGCTGGGGAAACATTTTTTCCATCTACTATCAAATCTGCTACTTAAATTTCATGTCATCTGCAGAACAGGAGAGGACAAAGTAACAGAGAAAAAAAATAAATGAGTCTCCAACTTTACTTTAGTTCCAAAGTGTTCTTTTCCTGATGACTAAGCAAATGTAACTTTTCACACTAGCAAGAAGAGTACTTTTTACTGGGCAGGGATGAGATCATGTGGGGTCTCTCTACAGCTGTATGTGAGCAACATCAGTGAGGGGACCTGAAAGTATCACGTGATTTCATTTCATGAACAGCAGTGTCACTTCCCCTAAAGAAAACCCTTTCATAAGCACACTTGAGTTTAGTCAGGCACTTCACAAAGACAGTTCCCAGGATTTATTCTCTCTATGATCAACATCTGAAGGAAGTCCAAAAACAGACAGGTGGGGAAAAGAGAAGTTAGGAAGAAATGTTTTGGGGCATTCACATATGACCTCAGTTAATCTTTATGAAAATGTGAGGAATCTTGCTTAAAAAATGTTAAGTATTTAGCCCAATTCACACATCATTCAAACCCAATTTTATTATGCTCCTAGTCAAATTCTGAGACTAGACAAAATACAATCATCACAAAAAAAAATTCAAAAGACAGATGTTTAAATAATATTTAAGTTTTAAGGGGAATCTTTTAAGAAATATGTAGAAGCTCAAGTACATTTCAAGTACATTTAAGTCCTGAGAAGAATTATTAGGGTCCTGAGAGTAATTATTTGGGGTGTTAGGTAAAAGGTCAGATAATTCGATGGAGGTAACAGGGATGGTCAACGTATCACCAGAACTAGAAACTTTAGGAGACAGGTTGCTGAAAGCATTTAAGCTTATAAAACATTCTAGATCTTAAAAAAAAAAAAAAA